CACACACACACACACACACACACACACACACACACACACACACACACAACCAAGGGCCTAAAGCTTGCACAGAGCTTTCACCAAGAAATTCTTTTCACCCTGAGATTTTTCCAGGCCCGTTCATAGCTATAAACCTACACGAGGAGGACCTCAGGAGGCCAGATGTTCTTCTGGAAGCCATCTGCAGACCCACCGCTGACCTGTGTGTCAACCAACTAGGCTGCGCTCCTGGAGTGCTGCCGGCACACAAAGGCCATCAGTCCACGCTGCCCCTTCCGGTTCATGCCGTTTCCGCACGTCGTGGCCTGCAGCTACCATAGTGTCTTAGAATGCTCTCGAAGCCTGGCCAGCCTGGGTGCAGAGTCCATCACACTCCTGCTGGGAAACTCCCCAGAGCTTTAATCTCCTCAGCACTTACTTCTTGCCAGGCACACTGCTTTGTGGTTTGGATACATCATTTATTGTCACCCTTCCAGCAAAACTGTGAGACAAATATTATTATCCCGCTATAAATGAGCAAACTGCAGCGTAGCAAGGTTGCCTTGCTGGCCTGATATATGACTCAGAAGTAAACAATAAATGTGATAGTTGAACATGGGTCTGTTTGTCTTTGCAGCCAGTGCCCTTAATCACTCCACTATCCTACTTCCCCAGGAAGTCCCTGGGGCTGCTCTAGGCCTGACTTCTGTGGTGTCCTGGTGACACCCAGAGCTTCCCTTGGTCACAGGGTCTGAAAGGAAGTCACAGGCCCACAGTGACCCAGGACGTCCATAGAGTCTGTTGGCCCAATCTGTGCTGGGGGCACAAGTAGGGAGATGCCGGGGTGGGGGGTGTTACCTCTGCTGCAGATTCAGGGTTTTAACAAACTGGCATTTGTTGATGCTTAAATAAAAAGCGGTGTTTCCTACATCCCGGAAAGAATGCAACTCTAAAATCCTGCCTGCTACTTAAAATGCTATTCCAAAGTACAAGCAGGAGTTGGGGAGGGGGGTCGGGAGGTGGTAAGGGAGAGGTGGGGGGGAGGAACCTCCACCAAGTTTGATAGCTTTCCTAATATTTCATAAAGTTTATAATAAGCGTTCCTCATAGTCCAAACAGGGAGAATAAAAATCACATGATCCCATTCTTATCTAGATTGTGGCACTTTGGCCCAGACCCCGTGTCTTGTCTGAGAATGGCATATGACTTTACTGTATCCTGTTTTAGAAAACAAAGCACCTTCATTATATGTCTTTTTTTTAATCCATGATCTGGTGCCACTTTTTTCTTTTTTCCTCCAGAAAAACAGCATTGAGTTCTCATCTTCAAAACAGAAAATCAGCCCCTTAAAAATGAACAAATCACCCCCATGTGGGGAATGCCAACACACTCTGAAATTCTGGAGTGAAGAGCTGCATCCTACACGGCCAAGTAAATATGACTCGGTTAATTCTGGAACATTTTTTTTTTCTTATTAGGTTTAAAACCCAGCCATGCTGACTGCCCGTGCTTGCATTGCTCATTTTCTGCACACCAAATGAAAGGCCTTGAGAAAATTGGACCCTCTGAGGGAAAACCCAATTTCTTTAGAGGAAAATAACTACTTGACTAGAATATTCGTTAGCAACAAAATAAGGAGCCCATTCTCATTGCATACAGCTGTTGAGAGCAAAACGAAGTAACTCCTGAATATGACGAATTATAATTTCCACAATCTGTGGGTGCTCTGATCCAGTTGCTACAGGGGTGTGTGTGTACGTGTGTGTGGCTTTTTTTTTTTTCAGTTTTAGTTTTAGTTTAGTTTTGTTTTGAAAGAATGAAAGGGGAAGGGCCTGAAAACCAGCGGACCTCTGGGTTCCTGAAGTTCACGGCTGCCCGCTGATTTCAGCCGACAAGCACAGAAGCGTCTGTGGCTGCCACCGCTGCAACTTGGGTTTTTCCTCTTCCTGCAGCCTTTAGCTCAGAAGAACTGCCCAGCAGGGACGCCCAGCAGCTCTTCCCAGAGCCAGGCCTCCAGGCTGTCTTGGGGTTCTGCAGCAGTGAGGAGCACGTCTGTGTGTGTCTTTATTTTCTTCGTACTCACTGAAAAGTGTGTATGTGACCTTGGTGTGTGAGTGCCAGAAGACGGAAGAGAAGGGGAGGGACACGGGTCGACGTTGCGGCCCTCACTTCAGCATCGCTTACTCAGTAGCCAGGCTGGTCTCTCCTGGCACAGAGCTCCAGGATGAAGTCCCCCTGGAAAGTAATTTGGGCAGTTCCTCTCTTCTTTCTCCTGCCCCTTCATACCTCGGCCTCGCCAGTCCACAATGACCAGCCCGGCACCAGAAACTCCAATGACCACATCTGTGTAGGTACGTAAATATTTTGCATATTTTTTATGTGAACATCACAATGTAATCATATACTTTGCTTGCATAGGAAGTCACCTATTTAATGACATCAATAGCTGTAAGATTCCAAGTAAGGTACTAAAAACCTCACTGACAGAAAAAATTTGAGTCTTAGAGTCAGCATTCACATTCGCACATGTGTGTGTGTAGATGAGCTCTACCCAATTGCTAGTTTGAATTAGTCACAGAAGACTTCCAATTCATTGGTGACTGGAATTTTCTTCCCCCTGGGTAGGCAACTCTGAAAGTCTGAAATTTATTCAATAGTCTGCAATTATTCAATGAGCTACTCAGAAAAAGGACCTAAAGTGCAAGTATGGATGCCATAGCTACAGATGGAAACTCTAGACACAGATTCTGACATGAGTTATTCCTGGAGACAGTACAGAAAAATATCTAAATTAGTCACGTTTCCTGAAAGAAACATGACACAGATTCTGACACTTATGAATTATTTCTGGAGACAGTACAGAAAAACATCTAAATTTGTCCTATTTCCTGAAAAAAACATGACCTCAGGTCATTATATATGTTAGGGAACATACCTGTAATTCCAAAGTCCTCCTCTAAACTAAAACTTTCAGACCCAGATTTCCTGTGAATCTATTCCCCACAGGCCTGGAAGCAGAGGTCTGTGGCCTCCCTGGAACCATGCCTGGGAGGTCAACCTCACCCACTATTTGCTGAGGTCAAATAATTATTTACTTCCATTCCATTTTCTCAAAACAGAACCCTAAAGCCTGTCCAATGAAAATACACTTGAGAAAGGCTTAAGTGAAGTAAGTTCTCCTTCTAGGATGGTTGCAAATTAAATGTTTTAGATTTCAGCAGGTTGTCTGGGATGTTGGGTGTCCATCACTATAAAGCAGACATGAGATACACATTCCCTTCCCTGCCCCATTCCCAACAAGGCATAGAGTTCAAAGGAGGCATTGAAGGAACTCTCTGGTTGTGTATTACTACATAACAAACTTTAAAATAACCATTTTTTTAATATCATAATCTTGTGGGTCAAGAATTTTTCAGAGCCTGGCTGGTGGGTCTTCTGCTCCATGTAGGATTGACTGAGGTCACTAGATGGTGTTTACATGGCAGATTAACGGGTATGGAACGATCCAAGATGGCCTCGCTCACATGTTTGACACATTGTTGGAGGGAGATGATTAGAAGGTTGGCTCAGCTGGGAATGTCTGTCAGAGCTTTTACACTTGGCTTCTCTAATGGAGCAGTCTCAGGGTAGTAGGACTTCTTACATGGCAGCTCAGGCATCCCAGAGAGAGAGTTCCATAAGACAGGGACTAGAAACTGCCAGTCTCTCAAGGATTGGGTCTGGAAACCGACACAGCATCACTTCCTCCATCTTCTGTGGGTCAAAGCAGTCACAGGTCCCTCCACTCAGACTCAAGGGGAGCTGACATTGACCTCTCCTTTTGATGGGGGGTGTCAAGGAATCTGTGGCCATCTTGACTGGCTGCACAAGTTCATTTTGGGTGCCCATACAAATACTCCACAGCCCAGAGTCTGTTTGGAGAGCGTGTCACTGGTTAGGTTTGATGATGATTTGGCACCCATTTCCCCGCCAACTCACAGCTTCTGGCTAACTCTGCCTGCATGATTTATCCCCTGTCATCATAATAGCAGGAAAGGTGGGTGCAAGAGGAGCCCTCAGTGTCATCACCACTTACTGAGCACTGGCTATGTGCTGAGCCAGCTGCCGCAGGCGGTCCACCTTGCTGTCTTACTGTTTGAAGGTGGTTCCTTGGGGAAACAGACTCATAAATTTGTATACAGGGGGGTTTACTGAGGACTGCTCTTGAGAACAGAGAGAGTGAAGGCAGCAGGAGTGGGCAGGAGAAGGCAGGCTACGCTACAGACACAAGAAAAGGCTTCAGCTCGTCTTATGGAGAGCTCTAGAGCTAAAGTGGCTCTTTAGAGTTGTCCTGAAATGGGTCCAGGCCTTGAAACCCCCACATTGACCAGTCACTGGGTGTGAATGGACTCTAGGGGGAGCACTCCCTTTGGTGGAGGCAATGCCTGGCGAAGGACCCTGGTGTGAGTTCTCAGCACCAACACACCCTGTGTGCATATACCCCATGTTATTTATTCCTCGTTAATGGACATTGGGCTGTTTACACCTCTTGGCTATTATGAATAATTCTGCTCTGAACAATCATGCACAAGCATTTGTGTGGATGTACACTTTCACTTTCCTTGAGTATATACCTAGGAATGGAATTTTTGGGTCATGTGATAACTCCATGTTGAACATTTTAAGGCACTGCAAAACTGTTTTCTACAGCAGTAATTATCCATGCAGCTTGTTAGTATCCATCCTTTTTATTATAGCATCCTAGTAGGTATGGAGTGATACCTCATTGTAGTTTTGATTTGCATTTCCCAAAATAGTGACCATTTGTAGATCTTTTTTGAAAAAATGTCTATTTATGTCCTTTGTCCATTTTGGGTTATTAGTCTTTTTATTGCTGAATTATAAAAGTGTCTTATAAAATCTTGATGGTATTCCTGGAAGTGCAAAGTTTTACATTTTTATGAAGTCCAGTTTATCCATTTTTTTCTTTTTCTTTTATGATTTTTTTGTGTCACATCTAAATCCTACATTTTTTAAAATTGTTGCCACTATTGTCTTGCTATTGTCTTATGCCCATTCTCTTATCTTGTTTCCTAGCCACCATTTTAGTCACCAGGGTATAACTCCTAGGACTGCAAGGAACAGGAATAAGCTTGAACTAGATAAAGCATTAAAAAAAAAGAAAGAAAAGAAAAGAAAGTAAACTTTCTTATGAGAATCCCAGAAATTAATTTTAGAACCAAAAGGCACAAAAACACAGTCAGGACCTAAAAAATGTGCCAAGAATTAAGAAAAAAAAATGGCTGCCAAAGGCTTAGGAAGCTCTCTCTTCTGGCATCCATCTCTGTCCCTATAAACCAGCTGGTTTTACTGCTCTAGCCCTTTGGCTAACTATAGGCTCCCACCGTCCAGAGTTTACATGTAATAAATATTTCACCCCACACAGAGATAGACTCTCCTGCTAATTGCAAATCCAACTTCCCAGGAGAGAGAACCTGGGCTAAGTGTTTAGGCTACTAAATAAGCAGCAGGTGGGAGTGAGGAGACCTCAGAGTAGAGATGTAACGACCAGGATCATGGGATGAGGGGACGGTGCTCCAAGAAGGGGAGAGGGCTGTTGTGACTGGAGAAATACTCCGAAAAGAGCCACCATAGAAGTTACTGAGCGATCGAACCAACATCCCCATCATACACAGCCCAGCTCCAGTCTCCAGGGGAGCCTTTGCAGCGGGAACAAAGTGTGAACCTGAAGGACATGATCTTGAACCTATTTCAATATCAGAACTAAGCTTTGCAAAGCCCCAGTGGTCCCTTTTTCAATTTACCATAATTCGTTTGCACTGAACAATACATCCCATTTGATCACTAAGCAAACATTGATTCTACTGTGCTTGAACAGGCACTGCCTCTTCCTGCCACCTTTTAAATGTTACAGAATCAATAACGAGCCATGTTTACTTTTGCAGAACATCATTTTCTTTACATGGATGATTTAGGGAGAAAGTAATCCTTATGTTTCTAAGTCATTGACATTTAAATTAATTCATTGAACTATGGGTTTTTTTAAAGCACTATTTGGTGCTCAGGAAGCCTTTTAAAAGGTTAAAAAAAAACCCACAATTTTTCCCTCATTCATGTCTAGTTAAATGTATAAAATGCCTTCAGAGTTATTTTAAAACCCCCTCTTCCCACCTCCATGCCCCAAAGAGTGGTCAGAGATGACTTTATAGTTTGAATGGTAGAAAGAAGCGGTCCTATGGTTTCAAGCTAATGTGAATGGCAAAAAAAAACCAAACCAGTGCCATTGACAAAATCAGGAAAGTTTTAGACACAGCCGGCAGAGAAGGTTGAAAATTTATGATCACAATTTATGTATCCAGAAATTTCACTTTCTCCACTTCTCAAGAACTGAACATTTATTCATAAGCCACCACTGCTGCTGATAGAGAAAACATTTCATCTCACCACTTATGTGTTTAAGATCCAGCTTTGCCATTTAGGTTTATGTGGAGGACATTTTTCATAACTTGGATGAACTAAATCTGCAGCTCCAACATCTGACAAATATATATATATGTATATGTATATATATATATATATATATATATATATATATATAGTTAAGATAAAGGATTATCTTAATGCATTAAGATAAAGGATTTTACTTAAGATACTGTACAGGCAAAAGTATATTGAAAAGAGCAATATTGCAAGTTTCCAATTTTGTCTGGGTATATTAGGTTTTAACAAGGTCTCTCTAAGTGAAATTGTAATAGGCATAATTAAAAGATAAGTCTTAGCAAAGCTTTTTTTTTTCTTTTAGATTTCCCAGAGATTGAGAAAGTAAAATTCTCCATTGACTAGGTAGCAAATGTTTTTGCAAGTCACATGGTTTTGAGTTGTTTGCTTTCAACACAATGAAAGGGGGTTTAATAGAGTTGTCAGGTGACAGATCATTTGAAATAATTTTTAATGATAGATTACTATAAGATTTTTGACATTTAACTCAGAAAGAGTTAAAGAATTGAGTGACATTGCTGTATCAAAAGTCCTTCCATTTCCATTTAGTTATTTAACTAAATGTTTTCTCTCCATTTACCTCTTTAAAAATGATAAGTAGCAACAGACATGATACCGAACCTCATGTGTACATGAATAAGTAATATTCTTCAACAGGTATAGGTACTAATTTAAAAGGCCCAACCATTTCATTAAGAAGTGCCATTCCATAAACTTCTCCCTTTATTATTTAGAAATTGTTTCTCAAATTGGCAATGCATATGTATTATTTAGATAAGTTAATTTATTAATAAAGAAAACTCTATCCAGAAGAATTTTTATACTTAAGAGTGTTGTACTTCCAGGAAATCAG